AATTCTTTTTCTTCCTTTCTAAAAATAAAAAAAAAAATAAAATAAAATAATAGCAAGGCAGGTGGCCAGAGGCACTACCTGTCCAATGAAGGTGGGCACCTGGTTAGAAAGAGACCTATATGAGGTTTGAGGATTTTTACCCAATGCATAAATATTTGTAGAGTCACTTCATCACTGAGATACATGGCTTCCGATGCTTTGTGCACTCAGAGAGCAGGACTATTCCGGACCGATTAGGCTGAGGGTGGGAGCTTCATGCCGACCTTAGGAGAATTTCCAGTGATTTGGACCTTGAATTACCCTAATACTTTTGCACAGATGTGACTGGTTTGACTGATGTATTTTAAATGCTTTTAGGGACTAGATAGAAAAGGCCCTTTGCCATTTAGCAGTTACCCTGGAATGGCAGGGCTCCTCATACTTAAGTCCCTTTAGAAATTATCTGGTGAGTTTGCTAAAATACAGATTTGGCGGGCTCTTGATAGCTCTAGAAATCTACGTTTTAATGTTTCTCAGGTAGATTTTGAGTTGGGCAGTCTATAGACCACACCTTGATAAATATATCACCAATGAATATGTTTATCTGTCATGTGACTCTGTTTTACTTCAATAATTGGTGATGGTTGGGTGGATAGGTACCTGCCTCACCTTTGAGTAGAAAGCAGCAGATGAAAAATAGACCAATTATTGGATTATTTGACTAGTTTGGGGAAAAAATATACTATCTTCCTTTTTTAAAAAAAAAAAAAAAGAAATTCTAGAAAAGGCGAAATCATGGAAACAGTAAAAAGATCAGTGGTTGCCAGGGGTTAGTGGAGAGGGAGGGATAAATAGGCAAAGCACAGAGGATTTTTTAGGGCAGGGAAACTATTCTGTATGAAACTATAATTGGAGGATGCATGTCATTGTACCTTTAGTAAGAATAGAGGGTATAGCACCAGACATGAACCTAATGTAACTTTGGACAATTGAACTCTATAGAGTTTGGGTGATAATGTGTCAATGTAGATTCATCCACTGTAACAAATGTACCTCTAGGGTGCAGACTGTTGATAGTGGAGAGGCTGTGCTTGTGTGGCGGATAGGGAGTACATGAGAATTTTGTCTTTTCTGCTCAATTTTGCTGTGACCCTAAAACTGCTCTAAAAGAGAGAGAAAGAGAGATAGAGACAGACAGACAGAGAGAAATACCTGACAACCAGCTGCACCATTCATCTGATAAATATTTATTCACTTACTATCTTGTGACAGGCACTCTTTTATTGCATTTCATTTTACTGTTGAATTATGTATAAATATAAGATGTATATAATCTACCATTTTACTGAGTTTATTTTAATGCTATTAAATTTAGAATCTTTCAAAGTTTGACTTTTAAAGAATTCTGTGTGAGACTGGGCAGGGTGGTTCATGCCTGTAATCCCAGCACTTTGGGAGGACAAAGTGGATGAATTGCTTGAGCCCAGGAGTTCAAGGCCAGCCTGGGCAACAGGGCAAAACCTCATCTTTACTAAGATAATCACTTGAACCCTGAATATGGAGTTTGCAATGAGCCAAGATCATGCCACTGCACTCCGGCCTGGGTGACAGAGCACAGCTCTGTCTAAAAAAAAAAAAAAAAAAAAACCAATTGTGCATGAAGATGATTAAAGAAATATTGTGAAGAGAGGGTAAACTGACCTGCAGTAATCATATGTTAACTAAAACCTGGGCTCAGCTTGCTGGATGTGGAGTGATGGACAGGGGATAAATTGGAACTAGACAGCTCACCATTTGGGGGGATAAGACATACAGGTGCCATTTCAGAGAAGACAAGTTTCTTCTGATAGGTTTTCAGAAAACTGTACTTTTTGAGTGTTTAAAATAGGTTTGTTTGGAAGCTTGGAAAGATTTCATGTTAGATACCAGAAGAAACTGGTAGATGGATTGGGTGCAAGAAATTGGAGAAAGGAAGGGTCCTGCAGAAAAGCAAGAGAGGGAAAGTGAAGAGGACAGCATCAGACCCACACATAGCCACCAGAAGCAAGAGGACTGGAGTCCATGTCAGGGCCTCCCTTCCGGTCCTGATGGGAGAGGGGAGGCTGCAGGGGAAGGAGGGAGGACCAAGGATCTGGCCATCCCGTTTCACACATGTGGCTATTTACATTTTAACTCTGAGTCATGTTTGGCTTCAGAAAACGAAAGTAGGATTCTCACATTCTTAGATAAAATTCAATCCCAAGAAAACAAGTTTTAATATAGAGGATCTGGTGACCCTAATTTATTATATTTCCAATTAATATAATAAATTAGAGCAAAAGAAAAAAGTTAATTGTCATATTTATGTTTATCTAAGTAGATTAAAATCAAACTGAAAAATTTCACTATAAATTTGGGTATATGGCATTAATTAGAGCCGTACTGAAAACATTTTGTTTTCATTGTAGCATTAAGAATTCATGCTGCATTCAGGCTGGGAGCAGTGGCTCATGCCTGTAATCCCAGCACTTTGGGAGGCTGAGGCAGGCAGATCACAAGATCAGGAGTTCGAGACCAGCCTAACCAACATGGTGAAACCCCATCTCTACTAAAAAAATTAGCCGGGCATGGTGGTGCATGCCTGTAATCTGAGCTGCTCGGGAGGCTGAGGCAGGAGAATCACTTGAACCCAGGAGGCAGAGGTTGCAGTGAGCTGAGATCAGGCCACTGCACTCCAGCGTGGGCAACAGAGATTCCATCTCAAAAAAAAAAAAAAATTCATGCCTCATTCAGTTTGAATTCATTTTCCCTTTTAATGTTTTGGAATAATATTTTAATCACTTAATTCATTAAATCATATGAATTGGAAATATAATAAATTAGGAATATTAATTATAACATACAGGATAGCTAAAATATATACATATAAATGAAATGCATAGATTGATTGATGATGCCATCTGCTTTTAGTACATAACCAATAGATTCACTGTAAGAATGGATTTGTTATCTCTTTTTAATGGTTTCATCATTGTTAAAGTAACTAAACTCAGAGAACTTTAAATAAATCACACATGTGAAAATATACACACATAGAGAAAGTCATATTCATAGTTTAACCTTTTTTGTACAAGTGGGATATGCCTTCTTAAGCACTATAATGAAGTGGATGGACTTGTAATCTGGGTGCATGTACAAGGCACACCTATGTAGGAATACAATATCAGCTCTCCGGCGCAGGTGCCAAGCAAGCCCTGAGTCAAACTGTAAGTTGGGCAAAGTTGTTTTGCACTTCTTTTTCTCTTTCCTTAGTTGACCTAAAAATCCTTTCAGTCCTCCTTACCCAGGTGTTGTCACCAGCCTCAAGCAGGGCAACCATCACCCCTCAACAATACCGTCCCTCCTCATCCCTCCCTCTTTCTTCCCTGGCATGTTCTCATGGAGGCGCCATATGTGAAATGCTGCATTCATGGTTTCCAAATTAGGGATTTAGAGGCCAAGAGTGCACTGAGGGTTTCCACTTTTTCTGCTTTCATTTGCTGTTGAATGAAAATGATTCCTGTTGGCATATTTGGAATCATCAGAGGCCACCCTGTATGAATGAAGCATGCTCTATTTTGTTTGTAAGCTAGGTTGGAAGAGCCACAGGGCTGATGCCCCTGGATACATTCCTGACTGTTCACAAAAGGGTTTTTTTTTTCTTTAAAGAGGGATATTTCTTAATTTTGAGAATACTATTTTAGCAAAGCTAAGAAACACCAAGGTGGCAAATAATATATTAATTAACCCTCTCCATTCATTTGACAAATATTTAGTGAACATTTATGGTGTGTCTGGCATTGCACTGGGGATAGGGATATATAACAGAGACTTTTCCTCCCAGAACGTGCATCCTAATAGCAGACAGGCAATAATAATACACATAACAAGTTGGAACACAATAAGTCCTATGAAGAATTCAATAGCACTTGAAGGTAAAGAAGAATGCTGGCTTGGGGTAAGGGTGTGGTTCCAAGAGCAGTTTTAAATGATGTGGTTAGAGCCACCTCATAGAAAGAACAGCACTTGGACACAGTTCAAAGAGCCCGGGGATGTAGCCAGGTGTCTCGGCACATCTGTGGCATGAATGAGTTTTTCTGTAATCAAAAACTTAAGTAGAGAAAGTGCCAATTCTTCAATCCCTGAAGAACACCGAAGCATAAAAAAAAGAAAAAGAGAAGGGTACTACTGGATGAATCATGCTCTTTTTCCATATACATGCAGAAGTTTTCAGATGCAGCTTTGTTCATGAAAACCCTATGAACTAACCTGTGTGTTACGTAGCCATTTTATTTTGTTTCTAATTTAAATTTACTTATGAAAGATTAAAATGTTGTTTTGATAAAAAGAACAGTAAAATGTAGTGTGCTTTTGTTGTTGAATCACATACCTAAGTTAAGCATAACATGCCTTCTCCTCATGTGTTCTGTCCCTCATGTAAGAGACGTTCTTATTTCTGCAGGTCTTCTGAGATAAAACTCCTTGTGTCGATTCTTCCAGTCTCTTGCTTCGCTTCTGGTTCCTTTGAAATGTTTGGAGCATATCCCTATTAAGCATAGCTTTAACATTTTGTACATCAGTCCTGCAGCCCTTTAAGACAGTGGTTAAATTTAGTAAGTCTAAGGAATAAGGATCAATGTAATGCCTTTTATTTCTTCATGTGCTTCAGCCATGAGGACATGGCATGATTTTATAGAGAGAAATGTCTAAGGCACCCATTATGAAGTTAAAATCACCTTTCCCATTCTATAGTTTGAAAGAAATGCATTTGGATTTTTATTGGTAGGATATTAAAGCAAATACAGAGAATAAAATATCAAACAAACACTTTTTTTCTTTTCCTTTTGTATGCCTTAATTCAGTTTGGTGCAGTTAATTGTTAGCAGATACCTTATATGAAAAACATGTTTTGGTATAGAGAGTGAAACCTTACACTCTAAAGCAAAAGTGGGGTGTCCTTTGCTCTTTCAGATAAGAAGACAAGGAGGCATCCAGCTCTTGGTGGACCTGTTGGATCATCGGATGACTGAAGTCCACCGTAGCGCCTGTGGAGCTCTGAGAAACCTGGTGTATGGGAAGGCCAATGATGATAACAAAATTGCTCTGAAAAACTGTGGCGGCATCCCAGCGCTGGTGAGGTTACTCCGCAAGACCACCGACCTGGAGATCCGGGAGCTGGTCACAGGTTAGAGGCATTATTGAATTATTATATTTTATCTCAAGATAAACTTTCTGTTATCCAACACAGTAGCAACTATACTAACCAAATAAATATTGTGGTGTTCTAATAACATAGGCAGTCTCAATATGTGTTTTCAAATGAGTAAACCACTAAGAAAACAGTATCAGATGTGACCCACCTGGATTGATCATATTCAGTAATCAAATGCATGTAACCTTCATTCAAATTCTGTGATCATAATCCATTTTTGTCAGTTGATTTAGAAGTAGTTGAGCATCGTACAATACCCAGGACTCCTCATGAATGATAATTGACAAGGCACGTCAGTTTTTGGTAATAAGGTATGCATTTTGGTTTATACTGTGATGAACACAGATGGCTTATTCTACTTCGCAGTTAATTTTTTGAATGAAATATTCATGTCTATTAAAAGTCACCATTAGTATTACATATTAAGGGATTTTTAAAAAGTGAACATCAAAAGTTTTTTTTGATTGCAGAACTTTTGGGTTTTGTAAAACGGAAATGATTATAGTAGCCACACTGTCGTCATGAGGGTTTAATAAATGAGACCCTGTGAAACATTTGGCACATACTTGGATACATGTGAACACGGAGCTGTCAGCTCTCACTTTAAAAATCTGCAGTGTTACTTGGAGTACTAATGGCCCAGGTGGCCTCAATACAGTATTTCAAATTACTCTGCTGCTTACTCATCTTGTTCATGCTCACTGCCATTCTAGGTGATACTTGGTTTTCAGTTCATGAAAAATTACCCCTATCAGCAAGTATTTGGCAATTGGATTGCATAGTTGACTGTCTAAAAAGATCTTTTAATTGTCCCTGGTTCCATTGACCTTCTGTCTCAACTCTAAAATTTCCTTGTAGTTATGCTGAAAAGTAGATGAAAATACATTATTCAAGATAGAGAACTATAAATATTTGTCCAGCCCTGGGTCAAGACTCCCAACTTTAGTATATTTTCTTGAATATATACTCCTTGAGATTATTGTCACATTTCTTTCTCACCCTTAGTTATATCAGAACTAGATGCAAATTGGTTTTGTTTATTTTTTTTCTTTCTGTAAGTAGAAAACTGTGGAAAAAAAATACTTGTTAAGAATTACTGTACTATTAAAGCAATGTTTCACACCAAACTAATGTGAGGTGACATGAGTCAGGGAAGGTAAAAGTATTTTTGTCTACATAGTATGATGTCTAGGATAGGTTGGGGGTGAGTTATGTAACTGAAAATATTTCCCACCATTATGGTTATGAACACCCATCCTTGTATATGTGGGTTGGGCTTAAGTTGGAACGGCCTGCAAAAGAAAGGACTCAATGTGTGTGATAGGGACAGGAAGCTTCTATGCATAAGACTTCGCCAACAGATACATGAAGCCACCAGAAATGAAGACCAACAAAGCACCTTCTGTGTACATCATATGGATTAATTTATGATTAGGAAAGAACTGGATTTGACTAACATTTGAATTTACTCCAACACAAAACCATTGTCTAGAAGAACCCTCTGTGGTAGCTTCCCTGATTGCCAAAGAAACGCAGCCACATGCCAAAGGTTGAGATGAGTGATGGCAAAACAGAATGGAAATGCCATACCCCCAACACATGACACCTTCTGCAGCAGTGTGTCTTATCCTGTCTGCCATTTGAAGCTGCGCTAAAGGATCCAACTGCTGCCTACGCCATTGCCTTCAGCACTGCTTCTGACAGCTCCTGGGTGTCAACCATCACATGTGCCTGGGCAACACCAGAAATTCCCTTGTGAGCCCCATCTGAAAAACCAAAGGCATAACCTCTTGTATCTTTTCCTGGTGAAATTCAGGCTGTAGGAAGGTTGCAAGTACTTACTGTATGGAGAGGATACCCTCTTATTTCACTTTTGAGAAGGTTTGAACCCACTGTCATGTCTTGACCCACTGTGTTTTCATCAGCATGTGCTGGGGGTTCGAGGTTCTCTCTTTGTCTCCTTCTAAATGCTGTCTTCTGCTGTGATAGTAACATCCATTAAGAGGGACAGTGGTTGTTACTTCAATAGATGTTTTCTGCCTTTCCAGAAGCATGTTCATATCGTGCTTGGCATCAGTTTCACCTTTCTCAAAGAAAAACATATCAGAACATGTTGACAAGCTGAAGTTCATGGTGTCCGAAGTTGCCATCATGGATTCTTCAGAAAATCCACAAGGCCCTTGGCCCACCTTCCACTCTAGTAAAGGAAATTGGAAGAGAGCATCTAGAGCATTCCAGTGTGGAATAAATTGCTACTGTAAGCGAGTCTAGTGATTGACTCTAGACGAAGCCTTCTGAGTTTCTTACTGACAGAAATCTGAGGGTGCCTAGAAACCTGCAGGACTCGGCTGACTTCTGCACAGGCGTTGCATCAATGATGTAAATGAAGCCATAGCCAACTTCACCTCCCAAAGCAAAAGTCAACTGAGGCAAAAGGAATTCACCTCAGAGAAAGCTTGGATTCTGTTGGCTAAGCCTTGGATGCCCTTAGTTGACCCTACGGTGCAGCCATGGTGATGCCTACACCAGTGCCCACTGCAGTGGTGAGGCTCTGCACTGAATGGTCAGAAGCATGCAGTACTGGCTGCTGAATATTTAAAGCGATGGCCCTGGCAAACATGTCCACGCATTTTAGCAACTTACTAGATGAGCAGCAAGGGATGAGATGACTCTGAGGGGCGGAGTAGGGTGTACAAGAAGAAAGGCTGGCTTCACATCTGTTGTTGCAAGGAGCCGCCGCAAATCTGTTTAGGAATTAGGTCAGATATTGTGCATTAATTAAACAAAGTAATGATCTAAGTGTAACTGCTATACCTCTTACTTTCATTGCAATTCTCCGGTGGATCTAATACAGAGCTTAGCAAAGAATAACGACTCAGTACATTACAGGAGCCCAGCCACGACAGGGGAGATTTTCCTGATCACTTTCCTGCCTGTTATCTCATGCATGAGAACAAATGTTGAACAAAGCATTACAGGGGAAGGTAGGGTGAGGTCTGCCTTTGAATTTCTTAGTAAATATTTGTAAACTGGGATGTATTATAACCAGATATTCAAAAGAAAAATTTTAGTGATTTTTAAAAAATGAAAGCACAGTTTATAGATCAGATTATAGATTAGGCCTAGCTGTATATCCAGAAGAACTTATGCTCTCAAGAGTAACAAATTACAAATAAGAAAGAAATGATCTTGCAAAGCTTTAAATTAGGTATTGAATATGGCTTGGAAGACTATTTGAACAATGATAAAGTGTTAAAATTGAGATATTTACATACATTTACATTCAACACATAACCATGCACATGCTGAAAAAGCAGTTGCCTATTTGCACTGCAATATCTCTTCACAGCAGAATATATTTTTCTGCCTGCTATGTCTTGCAATAAATAATTTTCTTCCCATGCAATAATTACTATGAGATGACAATGAGAATTTTATTTAAATACAGTTGAAGCTGTTATATGCTAGCCATTGCTTGAAAACCTCCTAAACAAATAAATTTCGATTAGAAATGCTGCACGTCCTTTGGGCCTGACTCATGGAGTTTTTCTCTCTCTCAATATGGAAATATTGGACCTAAATTTTGAGTATGCCCAACTAAAGATTTCAGAATCCTTTAGAAATCATAATAAAATGGTTTTTATTAAATGATAGAACTTAGTAAATAAGTTTTCTTTTGGTTGGAAGCACGTGTCGAGGGCTCTGCTTCTCCAGGAGCAGAGCGTGTTCTTCCGTCTGATGCTTCGCATGTCCAGATGGTCTTTCCTTTTAGTTATGGAGTCAGGCTGAGGACTCAGCCTTGTCCTTTGTTTCGGGCATCGATGATTCCCTCCTTTCTCCATGGAAGTCCCTTCCAGAGTCTTCGGGCTGGATTTGGATGTTATGCCCTAGACCTGCACAGTAGGATTAGATCCTGGATTAGAACTTCTGTCTCCAAGATCCTGTGCCCTCTTTTCTTTTGTTTTACTCACTTAAAAATTCCTAAAAAGGGATGCTTAGGAGATTAAATTCTGAAAAAAATAAGTCTTTAACCCTCACACGTGAGTGATGTTTACTAGATACGCAATTCTAGATAGAAAACCATTTTTCTCAGGGATATTTTCTATTATTTTAGCCTTAATACTATAAAATTCTCTCATGATATATCTAGGTGTGTGACTTTTTAAAAAAATGTCATTGAACATTTTCAATTTAAAGAGTCATGACCTTCTTTAGTGCCAGGAAATTTTCTTCTTCTTCTTTTTTAAAATATTTCCCTTGTTTCCATTTCCTCTGTCCTTGCTTTCTGGAATTAGTCAGACTTTGAGCCTCTTGGATTATTTCTCTTGTATTTTCCTATATAATTTTGAGCGCTTTGTCTTTTTGTCATATGTTCTGAAAGACTTCTCCAGTATCCAACATTTATTTTCCCCAATTTGTCTGTGACTTCCACCCTCCCACTACCAGGGGCCCAAGAGGATATCATCTTTTTAAAAGAAAAATGCTAAGAATTCTCTTTTTTTATTTTTTAGTAGCCCCATTTTTGTTTTACAAATGTAAAATATTTTTTAATTTCTCCAAGGATATTTCTTAGAACTTGTTTGTTTTTATCTCTTTAGCATGAATTATCTCAATTTTTTTCATTTTTTTTTTATGGTGGCCTTTTTCATTGATTTTGTAGGCTTCCGATCTGTGGTGGTCCTTAGTTTTCTGCTTATTTTTAAGATAGTGGGAATAGAGTTTGTCTGAGCTCTTTGCATGTTGGGGAAGCTTGTTCACAGTGAAGCTTCACTTCAGAGTAAGTGGGTGGGAGTAAACTGTTATCGTGGGAAATCCTTTAAGTGTCTTAATGGGGAGGGTTTTTCTCTAAGACCAGATGTCCATGGTACCTTTTTGGTTCTCCCCAACATAATCTGTCTCTTTGGAGATTCTTCTGAGTTGTGTATTTTGTTTGTGTGGCCTGGAGGAAGGGGACAGTATTTTACTGTCTGCTG